ACCTCCTCCTCCTCCGCCCGCCCTTCTCCGCCGTGTCCGCCGCCGCCGCCTCCACCGCGTCCTTCGCGCGGCCGCTGTCCAGGCTCCCGAAGCCGGTGGTCCTCCTCGTATCCTCCGACGGCTTCCGCTTCGGCTACCACCACAAGGCCCCCACCCCGCACATCCGCCGCCTCATCGCCAATGGCACCTCCGCCGCCGAGGGCCTCATCCCCGTCTTCCCCACCCTCACATTCCCCAACCACTACTCCATCGTCACCGGCCTCCACCCTTCCTCCCACGGCATCATCAACAACTTCTTCCCCGACCCCGTCTCGGGGGACGAATTCAACATGGGCTCCCACCAGCCCAAGTGGTGGCTCGGGGAGCCCCTCTGGGTCACCGCCGCCGACCAGGGGGTCCGGGCCTCCACCTTCTTCTGGCCGGGCTCGGAGGTGAAGAAGGGCTCCTGGGACTGCCCCGACAAGTATTGCCGCCACTATAATGGCTCTGTGCCATTTGAGGACAGGGTTGACGCCGTCCTTGGTTACTTTGATCTCCCGGCTGATGAAATGCCGCAGTTTCTGACACTGTACTTTGAGGATCCAGATCACCAGGGCCACCAGGTCGGTCCTGATGACCCAGCCATCACTGATGCTGTGACGCATATTGACGAGATGATCGGGAGGCTCATTGCTGGTTTGGAAGCTAGGGGGGTGTTCGAGGATGTGAACATTATATTGGTTGGGGATCATGGGATGGTTGGGACCTGCGACCAGAAGCTACTGTTTCTCGAGGAATTGGCTCCATGGATTGAGGTGAAGGCTGATTGGGTTCTGTCGAGGACACCATTGCTGGCAATCAGGCCGCCAGATGGTGTATCCCCGGCAGAGGTCGTGGCCAAGATGAATGAAGGGCTGAGCTCTGGGAAGGTGAAGAATGGGCAGTATCTGAAGATGTACTTGAAGGAGGATTTGCCTTCTCGCCTGCATTACTCGGAAAGCTATAGGATACCACCAATTATTGGGCTGGTAGCTGAAGGTTATAAGGTGGAGATGGAAGTATCAAAGAAAAATGAGTGTGGAGGGGCGCATGGGTATGACAATGCCTTCTTCTCAATGAGGACCATATTCATCGCACACGGGCCTCGTTTCGAAGAGGGTAAAATTGTGCCCTCCTTTCTGAATGTGGAGATATACAATGTCATTGCTTCCATTCTCAGTTTGAAGCCAGCTCCAAACAATGGCTCCAGTTCTTTCCCTGGAACAGTTCTTTTGCCGAGTGAATGATCACCGGTTTATGTGAGGGCTGTGGTTCTGGAGGAGGAAAACCCACTGATGGTATTATCTTCCGGTTGTAGTTGTATTTGTACACTATTTAAATTCAAATTCTGCGACGTGCAGCTATTCGCTACTGCTAATACTGCAAGCAGAGAATCCTTTTCCTTAAGGATGTCATTTGCCAATGCAAATCACATTTAACCTTTTCATCTTCTGTGATGCTAAATGTATGATGCCACTTCTTTTAAGTCCCATGTTTTCTGCTTGAGTTGATAATGATGATGATGTCCATCCAATGGTAGATGCAAGTGAAACATTTGGGGTCTTTTGATCCCACATGTTTTTTGTTGTTTTTAAAAGTAAGCCTTAGTTCTTTATATAATTCTTATTTATAGGTCCATGCAACTCTCAGAGAATTTTGTAGAAATTACCTTACAGTACATTCAGTTATATCTTACCCCAGTCCCAGGGTATAGACTTTGGTTCAACTGCTTACTCAACCTATAGAAAGAGATTGTACTGCAGTAGTCTCATTTATTCATTTCACAATTTTTTATAAGAACATCTGCTCTTGTTTCATGTCTTCTGTTATGTGGCATGCACTGAACTATTGAATTTGCGCTCCTCCATAAACACATGTGCGTAATTTGATTTGGCAGCAAATTGTATAGTTAGTTCGTAGCATAATGTATAACTGAGCAGTGAATAATTTTACCTTGTTGGGTCTCTAAGACTACTTTTGGCCTTCCTTTTACCCTTCATATCACAAATATGCGTATGCATGTACTGTTCCTGTTTTCCATGACCAGAAGAATAAAGTTCTCAAGATCATGGTTTGTAAGGCTGCAAAACTATGTAAGAGTCTTGGACAATTCAGTTACACTTTAATAACTGTGATGACTGCATTGTAACACCATGACTGCTTTGTGTGCTTGCTGCTTTTTATATAAAGCCAAAAATTACCCAAACAACAGTGTCAGAAATTCATTTCTTGTTCTCAGAAGGACTTCTTTATGTTCCTACTCCCTCTGTTCCATAATTCTTGTCGTGGTTTTAGTTCCGGAGGGAGTACTGTTTTTTGTGTGCATATGAGCTAGCATGAGTACCTATTGAGAGTACTTAAGCTGTATTATTTATTTCATTTGTGCCACCTTTTGTGGGTAAGTATCAGGTTGAAACCACCATTTCCGTGGAAACTCTGTGGGAGTCACGTGTGAAGTTCTAAAAAATCTCAATAATAACCAATTAACCATATATAGATGTGGTGACGGTGTCTAAATCTGTTATTTTAAGATTAATTCGAAAGATACAGAAAAGACAAGAAGTGATTTTCACTATCACTCTTCATATCATTTTTTTTCTTAATACCGTATTTCCAAAATTGGTGTTTTATCTTAAATTTTTACAGGTTTATAGAATATAACTGCCATACATATGGTATTTTTATTAGAATCTTTTATAACTTCTACACATGGTTTCCACAGAGGTTGCATTGAGAGAGTGGTTTCACTTAAGATTTGCCCACCTTTCTTTTACCTGTTGATGGCTAGAAGTTCATTTGTCTCATTGATGCAATCATGCTAAGGCAGAAGCTCTTCGCGGTTGAAAAGGTTCTCATGTTTTTTTGAGTTTACTCTCATTGCCCACTCTGATGTTACTGTCTTGAAGCATTAGTTCAACATATAATTAATGCTCTAATTATTTTCTTTTTTTTGACCACAAAAAAGGAAGATATTTTGCTTTTTCAACTTGGCAATTAGATGAGACTGAGGGAGAAGAATCCCCACCAGTTTTCATTATAAGTTAGAATGTGGGGGGATTCGTGTGCAGAGTGAAACCTTGTCTCGCTAGCAATTTCCTCTAGGAGAGCTCCCCAAACTTGGTAACTGATGATTGGGGGTATAATTCTTTTACATTGCCAGTTTTGGCAACTATTTAGGTGGGTGGTCTTTAAATTGTACAATGTGTGAAATGCCGTGGTTATGCTTTTGGTTCTGTCTGATCTATACTGAAAGTGCTTTTGGAGTGATATAGTCAGAGGAGATTCATGTTTTTTCTCTGCCGGAACATACAAAATTCAATGGCCTGTTGAGCCATGAATACAAGCTTCTAATATTTTTCTTGTGTTATTTCTGTAAGGTTATTTTGGAAAACTTGCAGTTAAACTGCGAAAAGTTGCACAAGGTAGCTTGGTTCATTTTTTAGTCAACTTTCATGTGGGGTATGCATGATTATAACTGCTGGCTTGGCTTGGCAAGCAGGGCGTTCCCAGCACACCAAACCTTAGTAACACTATCAATTCAGAAGGGCATTATGTGCACAGTTTCTCTAGGCATTAAGTTCCATTTTCTTGCCTTGTTGTAATTAGACCTTCCTCGTTGTTTGTCTTTGCCTCCTAAGCTTATATTGCTCCTTTTTTATGTATATATATGTTTGTTGTTGTTGAGGAAGGTTTTGTGGGGAAATTATATGCTAGCTTGTAAGTGAGCACAACATCTGCTTAAATACACCTGTAGTTTGATCAACTTGAATCTGCAAATTTATCAAGAAAGAATGCATTTTCAGTTGGCTGTGTTGAATGCATAGGTTTTATCTAGCTACCACATAAAAGGCCTCTGCTAACCCTACCATATCTTGAACTACATCCTGCTAGAGTTCATAGTCTATGAGACTCTTGGAGCTGCAGGGCGGAAATGTAGATGCTTGTTGTGAACTAACAGTCCCTTCTCAACTGCATGTGCTGGGTTCTGTGTATACATATGCTACCAGTCAGGGCTTTAGAGGATAGAGTAGCTTCATAGAAAGGAGAACATCCATATTTTAGCCGATATTTTTCTTGTTGTACATTGTTCAGTTGAACTTTCTTGAACTAGTTTACGATGTTGTTAGCCCAAAAACCTACCAGTTAAAAAGCATGATAGATCCATCAATAGGACATGCTAAATCCTAAATATAACACTTTTGATCCTTTTCTATGTTGGAATTCGGTTAATGAGTTTCCATTATTCTTATCTGTTCAGGATGAACAAGATAAGTTGCGAAGCCCCCCTTAAAACACGGGCGCTGAGTGGTTTTTTTAACTTCATCACCATAGCGTTCAAAGTGATCTTGACCCTCCACATATCCATGCACAAGCGAGCAAGAACAGCCAATTTGTCGAAACGGCAGCGCTAATTCTGGTACATTGTTTGTGCCTTTTTTAAGTCATAATATACTTGTGAACAGTTGCTCTCTTTTACAGCAATGCTTCTTTATCTAGGTTTTAACTTTATCCCATTATTGTTGTCTGTTCATAGTAGTGCTTATAATGAGTGGGTCTGTATCCTGATATTTTTCTCCCCAGTCCCGTGATAAATGCAATCCGGCACAAGCACGATGGACATGCAATCCGGTGGACCTTTCAACATTGTTGGACGGTGTCCTGCGTGCTAGAGCTGCCGTAATCTGGTCTCCTAAACTATGCCATGAACAGATGGAGACACTAAATGATCAACACTAGCAAACGTGACCTTACTATACGATGCACCTTGCAGGGACCCGGTTACATGGAAATAGTGCAATAGTAGGGGCCATAAATAAAGAGGGTCCAATTGCCACCCAAGTTGTTGGTTTTAATAGGCTCTGCAATGCTGTCTGGTAATTTTCTTTTTATCCATATTAATGTGCATATCTATGTTATAGTTTACCTTAGAAATGCTTCACTGCACGGACTGGATCTGCCAAATATAAAGCTGTAGGCCCTTTTACCACCATTGTCACTGTTCCATTGTTTGCAGAAGCCTGCACTAAGCAGTATCATCCCCTTTTTTCTGATACTATTCAAACTCCACTTGCGTCTACGGATATCGTGGTTATGCTGAGTAAATGGTTCCTCATTTCATATTTTTTACCTTTGCCACTCCTCTTGCAGGGCCTCCCTGTATCATGCGCGTGCTATTCACGGCGCAGAGGAGGAGATGCTGTGGTAATATGTGGTGGTCGGCCAGGAGAAACGGGCGTACTACAAGCAGGTGCAGGATCTTCCAGCAGATTAATCTGTAGGCAATAATTCCCATGGCCAAGGGGGCCAAGCCTCCTGTTGCTCCTCCATCCATCATTTGGTGAGCAAATTCTTCTGTTGAACAACAGGGTTACCTCACACGTTCACCGTTGTCATTCAGCACAGCTTTTTCTTGAGGGGGAGGGGGGACATTCGACATAACTTTTCACAGCCGGCAAGCGCATAATTGCACAAAACCCTGTCAGACATCTTTATCTTTACCGTTTAGGCGCGTCTCCGTGGTAACAGGGAAATGCATAATGATATGCAGGACTGACTGCACTGCACTGCGCAGCAGGATTATTTGTGGGAACTCATTCCAAGGGCCGAGAACGCGCCTGTACTTGGCTTTCTGTTGCCCCATACAGGGATCCTCTCCTCCTGGCCTCGATCCGTCAGCCTCCGAGCCCATCTCGGCCCTGTTCATCATGCCCCATGCACCCACCCACGCCCCTGCTGCATCCCGCCAGTGTCCCCGTCAGCTGCATGCAACAGGAGCACGGCTCTGTGCAAGGTCGCTATTGAGATTCCCCCCTCCCTTTGGCCTGCTGATGGTTACTGCCGCCCTACCACACTCCCCGGAAATGAAGAAATGTTGCTCCAGCGGCTGTCCTTTAGCAGAGCACTCGCCCCGCCATTGATTCCTTCTGCTCCTGCCTGCCTTGTCAATCCCAAGGCGATGCTGATGCCCGTCCATCTGCGCGTGCACGACCGGCCTGTTTTGTTTTTTTGCTTGTGGCCTTCCTCCTGTGTGCTTCCACTAACACTGCCAATGCCATGTTTCGAACAATATACTGTCACGGTCCTTGTCGAATCGGCAGCTGACATTTCATAATCGCTTGATTCCTTTCTTTATTGGTAGCTCACTAGCTTGCTCTGTTTGTTAGGGCTTAGCTAATATTCAAAGGATTGTTGGGGTGATAATGAAGATGGCACTCGCCATCGCTTTGGCCTGGAAGTTCTTGGCAAA